AGACAGGACAACTGTGTCCTCACTGGGATCACAAAAACATTCTCCATGTTTCCTCCTTCCCCATTCATCAGGAATAGTAAGCATAAGGGCAGCTAGCAGGCAAATGTATCTGGTTTCTTATCCCAGATTTCCCTGTTGCAGGAAAAAATGGATTCCCAAAGTTCCTTTTACCTAAGACAAGTGGTGCAGTCCCATCCTAACACCCACTGCAACTACACATCCAGATAAAAACCATTCCAGTGGCACCCCCAGGGCTCCACCTCCCTCAGGAACAGCTGCAACCAAGAACTTCTCCTTACTTTTCCTGGTGCTGGGGTACTTCTTCTTCAGTTTGTTCCTCAGGGGGATTAACTTGGGTATTATGGCAGGGACAGCCACGTAGAAATCAGCCTGGATTTCATCCTCCAGGATCTGCAACAACCACAATTCCACTTTTTGGATTGAAGCTAATTTAGAAAAATGTCCAAGCACAGAAACCCATCTCTCACTCTCCACACTGCCTGCTGCCTCCCAGCTAGAGTCCACTGGACATCAGGCTTCCCCCCCTCCCCAGGCCCCATTCCTGTTTAAATTAGGATATTTATAGAATTCTTTAAGAAAAATATATACCCATTTGATTAATTCAACTCCTCCCACGATGGCAGCCCCATGCTCCCGAGCTACCTCAGCTTCTTGCTCATTCTGTTGAGAGAAAAAAGTAATTTAAAAAGATGGACTACCAATTAGGCTGTTGGTCTGCTGCCAGCTGAGCCCAGGGTGAGAATTCCAAACAATTATGTCCAAAGAGTCACCAAATAAACCCATGGCAGCTCTCTGGGATCATCTCACACAGATAAAATGATTATTTGGGAAAGGACAGCTGCAAGAGTGTGCTGGACACTAAAACCCCATGGAAATGAAGAAACCCTGGCTCATGCACCTCTGTGAACACCAAAACCCCATGGAAATCAAGGAACTCTGGCTCAGCCACCTCTGTGAACATCAAAACCCCATGGAAATGACAAAATCCTGGCTCAGCTACCTCTGTGAACACCAAAACCTCATGGAAATGACAAAATCCTGGCTCATGCACCCCTATGAGGGCCAAAATCCCATTAAAACAAAGGAACCCTGGCTCAGCCAGCTCTGTGAACACCAAAATCCCAAGGAAATGAAGGATCCCTGGCTCAGCCACCTCTATGAACACCAAAATCCCAGAGAAATGAAGGAACCCTGGCTCAGCCACCTCTGTGAACACCAAAATCTCAGGGAAATGAAAGAACCCTGGCTCAGCCACCTCTGTGAACACCAAAACCCCAGGGAAATGAAGGAATCCTGGCTCACCCACCTCTGTAAACACCAAAACCCTAGGGAAATGAAGGAATCCTGGCTCACCCACCTCTGTGAACACCAAAACCTTGTTCACCTCATCCGTAAAGCGATGGGGAAGAGAGACACCACTGGAAAAAGGCTCCACTTTTTTCTGGCAAGGGAATAAAAAAAAAAAATTCAAGCAAACAAACAAAAATTATGCCTTGAGGGTAAATTACATCACCGCAGACAGTTGGTCCCCTCAATATGGAAAAAAATGAAAATGCAAACGAGGTGAGGGACTGCCCTCACAATGGAGCCAGTGTGAACAGACCCAAAGCCTCCAGGAGTGCCAGAATTCCCAGCCCACCTTCTTGGGCAGCGCCATGTCCAGGAACACGTTGATGTACACAAACTGCTTGGGGTGGGTGAAGTCCAGCTCCTGGAACCTCTTGAGCATGGCCACGGCCTGCTCCAGCTCATAGGAGGGTCTCCTGTAGAGCCATGTCAGGTACACGTCGTCCACGGGCTTGCTCAACAGTGGCCGCCTCCGAGGGAGGGGCTTCTCCTTCATCTTCTCCTTCACCTTCTCCTTCTCCTGCCTGCCCCTCTTGGCATCCTTTTTGGCAGCTCTAACACCAAAGAAAAAAAAAGCCAGACACGCTGCAAGGTCACCAGTTGTCTTATTTTTCACAGCACTCGGATTGGATAAAAAAGGTTTTCTCCTCCCTCTCCCCGTGGCATTTTGCATTCCGTTGAACACCGAGAACACTTAATTCTCCTGTCTGCTTTTGCTTCTCCCAGCCACGCTGTGCTATTACAGAGATGACAAATTCAACAATGAAAAGCCAATTCAAGGACGGGAAGGGTTTCAAATCGACTCCAGGAGCTCAGCAGCTTTCACGCTGACATGCCACCCCACAAAAGCACAGCCCAAAAGCACAACCTCAAGCTTTCCCTGTGCCATTAACACTCCCTGCGAGTCTCTGGGAGCCTGTAGGACACCCACAGGGTCAGTGGCTGTCACACCAGCACTGCGGACACCAAACCCCCCAAACACCCCCCAACACCTCCCGGGACGCCGGACCCGCACTCACTTGGCTGTAGCCGCCGCGTAGGGCCGGGAAGTCACGGGGCTCACCACGGCGGGGACGAGTCGCTGCTCCAGCCCGGGGAGGATCCAGCCGCACCGCGGGGACAGCGCTGCGGGGCGAGAGCAAACATCGCCTCAGACAAGCGCCGCGGCGCCCTGCGCCCCGACCCGCCCGCACAGGCCGCCCTCCAGCCCCTCGGGGCCGCGGCAGAGGGAGGCAGGGAGGCGGAGAGGCGGAGAGGCGGAGAGGCGGCGGCGGCCCCCTCACCTCGCCACAGGCAGCGGGCGCTGGGCGCCGCCATTGTGCCGCCCCGGTGCGCCACCAGAACCACTCCCCGCGGAACTCGCTCCCCGAGAAGAAGCGTTCCGGCGGGCCCGGGCGCTTCAGCGGTGTGCCACACACCGCCGTCCCCCCAACACGGCGCGCCCGGGCCTGCCGTTCCGCGGGTGCGCGGGTTCCGGCGCCTGCCCGCTGGCCGGGGAGAGGTGAGCCATTGCCAGGGGCTGGTCAAGAGCCTCCGGCTCGCTTCTTCAGCGGCCTGAGAGGGGCCTCAGGGCGAAGCCGGGGTCGTCTCGTAGCGCTGCAGGCCGAGCTGGGCCCCCTTCCCCAAACCAAGATGGCGGCGGCGCCTGAGGGCAGCAGAGCCGCGGGCCGCTTGCACCTGTTGGGCCCCGTCCGTGCGGGAGAGCAGTGCCCGTCTGATGGTCAGTGTCACCTGCTGCAAGCCGCGGCTAATTCCAAAAAGAGATCTTCTGGCTGCCGTCTCACCCCTATTCCCTTGCGGCCTGGGCGGGAGAAGAGGTCCTAATTCACTCTCCCGGAGCAGCATCCACTTACAAAGACTTTGTTTAAACAACTGCTGAGCTGTTCAGATTCACGCCACAAACTGTAATGGTTAAAGGGAGCTTTTATTTCACACTGATGTGCTTTTGATTAAAAACATTCCAATCCCGTAGTCTTCCCCAGTCAGTGCGTGTCCAAGAGTTTTTGAATCGGGCATATGTGGCTATGGAAAACTCCCCAATGGATGCGTGTGCAAGAGATTTAAACCAGACACGGGTGGCTGTGTAAAACAAGCTGTAACAAAACTGCGCTCATCCAGTCCGACTCCTGGCTCAGTGTCCTGGGAAAGGATGGACATGGAGAGGTGTGAGGGCAATGGGAGGAAAAGGAACCCTCCTCGACTAAAACACCTCAGCTGACAAGTAGCAACCATTTGTTTAAAGCTCCAGGGGGGAGATGCAATGATTTTGGACGGGCACTTGGCACTGTGGAGGGGGTGGGTGTGAGACTGTTCAATGTGCATCTGTGGCCAGGTAACTCACATCCTTCACCACCTTCCCTCAGTCCCCGGTGAGCCTCTGGCTTTTCACCCACCAGGTCTCTGCCGTGGACCACGGATTTTGGGAGAAACACAGGCTCGCAGGTATTGCTCACCCATCACCAATACCTCACTCGGCCCAAAGCCTGTTTGCTACCAACATTCCCCACTCCATCACTGAGGCCTTTCCCACTCTCCAGCCATCAATGAACTCCTTGTGTCCAGCATCAGTTCAGGCAGCTGCAGCAGAAAGCAAATTCCAATAAAAAGTGCCAGAGCCTGATTGATGTCTTGTCCCTCCTTGTGCTTCCCCGACCGCTTGTTGCTTCTTCAGACATTCCCTACGTTTCCTTGGTGCTTTTTTTTTTAATTTTTTTTTTTGTACCTGCGCTTTCCTGCTCCGGCTGCCCGCAAGGATCCGTGCCACCGACACTTGGGCGCCAATAAAACCCCACTGCCTAGAGGAGGAGAAACAAAGGTGCCAGACAGCGAGCAGATGCCCGCACAGCCAAATCCCCGCTGCTCGCCGCGGATCCCCAGGAGGACTCGTCCTTCTCCCACCGCAGCGCGGTGACAGCCGCGTCCTGGGCTGTACAACCGAGGGGCAAAAGGAGGGGAAAAGGAGGGGGTGAAGGCGGCCGGGGGTTCTTTCCTGCCCGTGCCGGAGCTGCCGGAGCCCGCCCGTGAGCGCGGGCACGGCCCCGCCAGTGCCGCGCTCCCCCCGCCGCGGCCCCGGCACCGCCCGCCGCCGCCTCCCGCGCCCGCCCCCGGCTCCTCCGCCCTGCGCGCCCCGGCCGCCGCTCCTCCTCCTCCTCTTCTTCCTCCTCCTCCTTTTCCTCGCCGCCGCCGCCGCCGCCGCCCGGGCCCCGCGGCTCCGTCCCCGCTGCCCGCGGGCCGCCGCCCGCATGTCGTGTGCGCCCGCCCCGCCGCGCCGCCGCCGGCCCCGCCGCCCCGCCGCGCCGCATGCAGGTGAGAGCGGGCGGGAGCGGCGCCGCCGCCATGTCGGGCCCCGCGGCCGGGCCGCGCCTGCGGGGCTGAGGCAGAGCCCCCGCCGCGGGGAGATGGCGATCGGGGCGCGGGGCAGCCGCGGAGCCGCCCGAGGGGATGCCGCGCTCGCCTCGGAGCCGCCCGTGGCGGCCGTGGGGTGAGCCGTGCTCGTGGGGCCCATCCCGGGCACGGGGGGACGAATCCCGGCCGTGGGGTGAAGCCGGGCCCCGGAGTGAACCCTGGCCGTGAGGTGAGCCCCGGTCGAGGGGGCAGATCCCTGTCGTGAGGTGAACCCCGGCCATAGGGTAAGTCCCGGCCTGGAGGGGAGCCTCAGCCCCGGCAGTGATCCCAGCCGTGGGGTGGTTCGTGGCCGTGGGGCGAAGGCTTGGCCCCAATCCCCTTCACGTGCCGTGATGGGATCCTGGCCTGGCGCTGCGGGTGACCCCAGCGTGTTGGTGAGGCTGTGTTTGGGGTGACCGTACTTCAGGGCTTGGGGTGTTTTGGGGAGATGCTGGTCTTGCCACCACCTCTTCCCAGTGGTTTCTCAGTGGTCGGCAGCAGTTCCGAAGGAGGAGGATGACAAGAGTGTCACCTGCAGTAAAACCTGGGCTGCCAGCCCAGGCGTGCTGCTTGCAAATGAAAGCACGCACTTCAACGCTGAGTTTTGTTACGGTCTGGGGCTCGCTTGTTAAACTGGAGTGCTCCTGCTAAATGTGGTGGAGGGCTCTGTTGCTCCCAGCCACACCACATTTTATCTGACCTTCTGGAAATCCTTAGACCAGTGGCTTTTATCGGGCTCTTTTGGAAACTTGGAATAGGCTGAGTATTTGTTTTGGGGAGGCACAACTTCTCCTGAGTTGCCATGCTGATAAGAATTCTACACGGCCTTGGTTAAGCAGGGAATTTCTTACAATTAAAATGTGAAGCTCCCCCCACAACTCAGAGCTAACCTAGAGGGCCAAACACCCACCCAGGAGTTGTTCATGGTGTGTAGACGTGGCTGATAATGAAAATGAATACATGTGTTTATTTTTAAAAAGAAAAAAAATAGTACATTATTCCTCACGACCCAGGGAATTCCTAGAATCATTGTATCATCCTGTATCCCCGTGTGGAAGGCCATAGAGCTCTGGTAAAGGCAGAGCACGGACTGCCAAGGAATTTATTTCTGTGCTTTCCCTATGAAAAATAGGGAAAGTGGTCCTGACACATGTCCCTGTCCCGGAGGGCAGCATCCATGGGCACGGCTGTGGTGCCTCCCGGCACATCCAGGCTGGTGGGATGCTGAGTTTGTGCCGCAGCCCGACCTGGGGTCCTGGTCCCTCCCCACCAAGGGAGGTGTTTCCAGCCTGATTGTAGAATTTTGCTCTGGAGCAGATGGACAGCATGCACTGCTGACACCTCACTGCTCCGTGCTCTGGAATGATGATCCAACCTGCAGGATTGTGTCGGTTCACCCAAACAGAGCTTGTGTTTAAGCTCCAGCCCGGGCATTACATCTCCTCCAGAGGTGACTCCAAAAGCCCCGTGGCAGTGTGCCTGTTGGTTTCACAGAACAGTGGAAATTCTGCAGTGCTCTGCTGTCTGCTAAGCAAACCCTGTTAAACACTTTCAGTTTTGTTCCCTTCTTACTATTAAAAGCGGGGGCTGCTCTGAGTGCTGAAGTACAGCACAATTTAATTTATTCCCTTTTATCTCTTCCTACAGGAGCGCTTTCTCATTTCATTTGTGCATTTAATTGAAGGCTCAAACTCAGTGTAAACGGCCCATAGGTGTTCCCGTGCAAAGTTTAGTTCTCTCCCACACTGGGAAGGCCAGACCCTAACATGTCAGGGCTGTGACTCCCCATGAGCAGGCTGCTGGACAAACTCACCCCGGCAGCAGCGGGAAGAAGGCAGAACTTTGCAGCTCCGTGGCGGTGGCTGCGGAGTTTCCCACCGGCGGCGCAGGGCGAGCTGCTGCCGGCACAGCTCTGTCTGTGACCCGGGACTGACGGCTGCAGGAGCAGACTTATCTGCACAAGTGCACTCTTACTGATAGAGCTTGTTTTCCTTTCCTCAAGGGTGTTTCTCCCCGTCCCTGGGAGCAGCGCTGCTTCCAGGGATGGAGCCGGCTCAGGCATTGATCTGCCTGGCTGGGAAGGGAAGGGAAGGAAGGGGAAGGCTGCTCCGGGTGTATTTGCCATGTGTGGCTCTCCTCTTCCCACCCGCAATCTGTAGGAGCCCTGTCACATTTGCACCAGGAATCCCCTTGTGGAAGTAAGTGACGTTAGGGCTGTTCTCTTTCCATGGGATAAAACTTCCATTTTGTGGGAGAAACTGGGAGTATTTTGTTGTTTCTCATTAAGAGCCGTGGTTTTGTAAAAAGCCAGGCAGGCTTTTGACCAAGTTTAACTTTCACACCAGTCGTGGGAGAAAGAAGTCATGAAGTGATCCCAAGGTATGTGTGTGGACTCTATTAGGAGAATGAAAAAGCCACCAGTGGGGAAAAATTAATTAATTTCCACACTGGGCAAGCCTCTACTTAATTTCAATCTAAACCACCAAGAATTAAAACTCAGAGTTACGTAGATTGCAGCAACCACTGGCTTTTTTGTTTGAGCCAATGTGCACAAATGGGGGGATGTGTTTCTTTTTTTCTTATTAAAGCCTTCCCCAAGGTTTTAGGTGATAAAATTATCCATCAGTAACGTGCATAATTTCCAGGCAAACTTTCTTGAACCACCCCCAAGAAGTTCTGCTTCTATCAGCTGTAATCTGCTGGACACTTTTGGGTTACTGGGGCTTAAAAGGGGAGATAAATCCAAATAAGTGCTTACTTTTTATTTGCTTACTGTTCAGTGGAAAGAGGTTTGGGGAATGCCAAAAGGGCGCTTGAGGCATGGGATTGTAACCTCATTTGCAGACTACTGAGAAAGCAAAAGTAACAGTGGAGCTTAGTTTTTTGGTAGCATAAGATGGCATTTGTGAAAACTTTAAAAAAATAGGTTAAAATATGTCTTAGGCATATTTAGATTCAGGAGGATTTGCTGTGGTATTAGTGCTTTAGAGCATTAAATGCTAAGCCTCTTGTAATTTTTTTTTTGGTCCAGATTCTGTGGTTCTCTTGATGTCAGGTTGTGATCAAGGGGCTTGTTACAGTGACAGTGTGGTGTAACTTCACCTTCTGATTAATTCTTTGGGTTTCCAGTGATTTGTCCGTGCAGCTTGTCCATCTCACCTGTAATGGTTAAAAAAAAAAAAAAGGGAAAAAAAAAAAAAAGGATGTTTCTCTATCAAGATCCTTAGGTGGTGACAGTATTTCTGGAATTCTGCTGCTCTCCTTCCCTGTCTTTTGTGCGCCTCGGGGCTGTTGTCAAACTTCCACCACAAGACCACCCCATATAGAACAAATTAAAGTAAACTGAAGTGTCTGGCAGGAAGTGGCAAAAAGAACTTGACGTGCACAGGATTGCTGGTCCCATTTGTGCCTTCAGATCTCGGAGCTGGACACAGAGAGCACCGTGGAAGGCCTTTAGCTGAACCTGCTGACTGGCTCTGTTGGCAGCTCAGTAAATTCACAGAAGGGCTATATGACACCTACCTCCAGTGGCAAGGTACTGAGCCTGACCTGGGTGCTGCTGTGTGGGAGAAAAATCTTCTCTCAGAGTTGAAAACGAGAAAAAAAAAATATCCACACTCCCCCCAAAACAAAAACAAACACCAAACTGAAGTTACTCTAAAGAAAAGAGAGTACTGGAAGAAAATCTTCCTGGAATCCTGGCAGTCTCCTGGGCATCTCCTTACAGAGATGTAACTTTAGGAGTGCTCAGCCACCACCAGGAAACGACTGGATGGGTGGTCATGGAAAACAGAATTAAAGAAAGGCAGAAATGCTCTGTGTGCTGTCCTACAAGGAACACATTTTATCCCTTGGAGTGGGAGATGTTAAACCAGCACTTAGAAAAATGCTCCAGGAGGAACAAAAAACAGCTCCCAGCAATTGTAGCTCCAAGTGAGGTGCAGTCAGTGAGCACAGGAATTTTGGGAGCTGCACCCAGACCAGGCGAAAGAAGAGAAGCCCAGTGAGCTGTTGAGTGTCTTACACACAAGTAATTTAACTGCAGTTTGTAGGTCGTGTGTGCTCACCCCTACTCTGGCATTTCCTGAGGGCAGTCATTAGTGCTGTTTATGAGTGCACAGCACTGTTTATGCTCAGCATTCACCTAGGTGGGGTGTACTGTCTTCCCCATTCTGCTTGCCTGGGTGGGGAGGAGCTTGCTGGTTTTTCTGAGAAAAACAGAAAAAATGTGAATAAAGGGGCTGTGGGACTCCCAATGCAGATTTGCAGGGTATGAAGGCTGCAGTGTAAATGCACGTTCTAAATTAAAATTCTCCCTTCAGCAGGAGTTTAGTTTTGGGTTCCCCCCACTTGCAGCTGGAGGGTTGGGAAATTTCAGACATGAAGAGACAAATCCTTCAGAACACCCTGCCACCATTTCTGTTGATTTGAATCTGGATTATTCCTTACCCTAAACAAAGCATAAAGGGAAACCTCTTGTGCTCTCAGCCAGGAGCAGCAGGAATTTTTATGGAGGCAACTCTTGTCCCATGGGCCTTTCCCCTTCCCAAGTTCTGCACCCACCTGTACTCTCCAGAGGCCGTACTGGAGACAGGAATTCCAAGCAAAGCTCCTTTATCCTGGCCACCAGCCCTTCCACAATTACCTCTGCAAGTCAACAGCTCCCCACACTGCT